AGGCTTCAAGAAAACAAAGTTGCCATCTTGTATGAAAGCTACTATCTGACTTTAAAGTTAATCCGGCTCAAAATCTATTCTTTCTGGGAGCCAGCAGTTAGCGTAATGGCTATGTCGCTGGACTCCCACGTAGTCGACCGCGGTTCGTGTCCCAGACCCGGTGGCTTAGAACTCACGCCGGGCGCGTGTGCGTGCGTGCCCAAGATCCCGAGAGGAGAACGGAGGAGAAGGGATTGCGGCGTGACCATCCCCCCTGGGGGGTGATTTCTCGCTTTCTGTCTCTATGTCTCTCTCTGTCTGTCTGGCGAGCGCACGCGCCCTACAGTGAAAATCTCTCAAAAAAAAAAAAAAATCTATTCTTTCTGTTACACAAAGCTACCTCTTGATAATCCACAGGCTCCTCAAGGATGGAAAAAAGTTGCCAGTAGAAAGAAGTATGTGTTGAGGCAAGAAAAGTCAACTATGTGAAAGTAATCTAATGTGCTTGTTTTACAATATTATGGAAAAAATAACTGGCAGCCCAGCATAAGCAGTTCCATTCTGTCCCAGGGCTTCCACACAGCCCTGGTGACCTAGCCCTGCAGAGCTGTGGGCATGTCAGCAATAAGCCCTAGAATCGTGTGTGTGGGTGTGAGTGGGTGTGTATAGTAAGGCATTAAAACCAAAAGGACACTCATTGAGGGAGCATAAAGCACACTCAAGAGAAGCTCATTAACACTTTAAGATCTGATGGTACATGCCTTTTCTTCTCCCTGAAAGTATTACTGATATGTTGGTCCTGACATTTTAGTTTTAAATTTTCTGTCACATGCAGACAAGGAGCTGTATATACAGAAATCATAACAATGAGAAACAAAATCACCAGAACCACTAGAAGAAAATCCCAGCACCTCTTATAGGAAGGAAATCAATTGTCACTGGAGTAGATTTATTGCACTGAAACTTCTGGAAATTGAGGCTGGAGTGTTCATTTCTCAAAAATTTCCAGTCGATTGTGATGTACCACACTGACTAACAACCACTGCTCTGGAAAAAGGTCCTACCAGAATCCCTGGAGATTCCATAGGATTAGGGAAATACAGGACTCAGGTATCATGGAAAAGCTCCTCTCAACAAACCAATGCTTTGTTTTCCATGGTCTGAACATCATTTTAAAAATCCTGATTTAGAAAGTGACACTTCACACTTATCCGTCACCAACTATTATGTTAAGTGTTCACCAATGCTTGCTAGCAACTAAGAGTCTTTAGGTAATCTCTCTGAGTGAATAGAGGGAATCGAAATTTTATAGCCAAATCACATAGATGACATAGCCAACCCAAATATCTATGTAGGAATTCAGATGGCTGAAAAATTAATCTTGATAGAAAAAGAACAGTAAATGTATTTCCCCACAGGGCATTTATGCACACATACTCTTGGTAGAGTTCATACTCTCCCTATTCTAAAGGAAATGGCTGCTCTCCAGATTCCTTCTGAGCTTTAGGAAAACTTGTTTTATCTGCTGTTCTCGCTATACTTCTAAAGCTAAGGGAAGAAAAACACTATGCTCTAAGTCCCTTCTTCCCTGTCACTGATGGTAAGGTGTTGGTCCAACTATAACGAATACACACAAAAGGAGTGAGAAAGTAACAAACTGATTCTTTGGAAGCACAAAGGCACGGGAAAATCTCCAAGGTTCTGTGGCCTCAAAGTATGATTTTTGGCTTGCTATAACCTCACATGCTAAATGATTAGTAACTCATCTCTTTTCTAGTTACTGGATTTGAAAATGTTTTCAAATGGTTTTCATTAAAATCAGGTAGGTTGAGGTATCTCAACCTCTCAAAACAAACCAAAATGAAATTTTAAGCTAAAAACACCAAGAAAGTAAAAAAGCAAGTATGTAGAGTTCTAAATAAGTATTTTTTCTCTTTAATTTTTAAAATGCACGAAATAAGCTTTTTTCCCCCCTTTAAGACTTGAACTGTTTGCCATATAGGTCACATGTCCCTAACATTTGATGACTATTGATCTTTCTGCAAAGTATAAACAAATTATTTTTAAAAGTCGATGCTGGTCCAATATGGTTGCCGACACTGCTAAGATGCCATGCTCTGCAGCTGGGACCTATAGGAGGCCTGGGCTTAATTCCCAAGCCAATCTAAAGGCCAGTGTAGTTGTGTGCATCTGTGATCTAAGCTACTAGGGAAGGCTGAGGTGGGAAGATCAGGAGCACAAGGCTGGTCTGAGCAACAGAGAAAGACCCTGTGTAACAGAGCCAGGCAAGGTACACTCCTAGCAGGTAGGCTGAGGAGGATCACCATACAAGATCCTATTTGAAAATTAAAATTAGCGCCAGCAGGTGGTGTGGAGGTTAAGGTGACTGGATCCCACATGGCAGAAAGCAGGGTTTGAATCCTGGACCTAGTAGTCTAAAAAAAATACACCAGGAGGGTGTGCATACATGCCCAAAGGAGAATGGTGGAGAAGGGATTGTGGCATAGCCATCCCTCCTGAGAGGTGCTTTCTGTCTCTCTTCTCTGTGTCTCTGGAAAGTGAACACACCTTATACTAAAAATTTTTTTAAAAATTAAACTGCAGTATCTCTCTTAATATACAAATAACTGTGACAAGTTAAATGATACTGTACACTCTGAATTAATTCAATGCCATAGCTGTTTTCTTTCCAAATCTTAAAAAGTCTGCCAAGTGAACATTTTAGTCAGGCCAAGGTAGTGATAATATATTGTTAATCTCAAACTGACTTTCAAAAGGATATAGCACAGGTTCACATTTCCACATCTACACAACTTTATTAACAAGCGAAATACATGCCAGCATGTTTTATTTATGGGTGAGGGCATTCCTATAATAATGAATGACACATTATCATCTAACAGTTGAACTTTATCTAGAATTAGGTTTTTAAAAATATTTCATAGGACTATTCAAAGAATTAAACAGTAAAAATAACATTTAACAGCAGTTAAAATGTAAATCATTGTTTACTATTTACCATAAGATAGAATCATTCAAATACAATTTCTACTAAAGAATAAAAGAAAAAAGAAAGAAAGAAAGATATTAAGCCTCTTCTACAGGACAAATGACTGGCTAGAGAAGGCGGTAACATCAACTGGCTTTTGCCCATATTCCTTCTCTCAAAGGGCAGGGGGTTATAGTAGTCACTTCTCAGTACAGCATACAATTATACACAGGTGATCATATAACTTATTCTCCAAATTAGGACACTTTTAAGAGAGAGGGAACAAGAGGCACTATTTAATTAAGCTAGAAAAACAAGAATAACCAGGGCTATTCTGAGCAAACTCAGGATATATGTCACTTTAGTTAAATAGCGTTATCAGATTCACTTATTACTTTTGTGCTTTTTGAAGCAGTACATACCAGCTGAATAAAAATCATGTTAAATTAAGGGATTCTAAGTTATTCTCCGCTTTTCCTGTTTTACTGCAAATATTGGTGATGACTGCTTTAACAAGTTAAAATTCATGAACAACTTCAAAGGCATGTCTTAAATAGAATACAACTTATGGATTCAAAATAATAGGCTAGAAATTAGTATTTTTCTCTACTAAGCAGAGATTTTCATTTTAACTGAGTGTAATAGGATTTGTATTTTAATTTGAAATTTCTAAAATCTATTATGAATACACTATATTGAAAAATGTATTTTTGCCTTAAAATAGTTTCCTGCATAAATACATGAAAATGAATTATCCTAACCATAGCTGGCTAATTCAAACATAACAGAAATCATCTAATAAATTTTGCAATGATTTCCAAGCCTAAGTTCACATTCATCCAAAAATGTTTACACACTCTAACATGGAGTTTGATTATTCAGTCTTTAAGACAGAGTGCAAAGGTGGTCAGGTATCCCCAAAACATAACAGTAGCTGTTCAAGCTCACAGGAAATGAAGGAAAGTATGCAGGATTTGATACATCTGGAAGGGAATGTTAAGTTTTTAAAAATAACATTCAGACTCTCTGCTTAAATAGTGAGATTTAAGGCTAACACTGAATTGTATCAATTACAAAGGAATAGGTCACAAGTCCACTTGAACCTTTAAAAGTTCAGGAGGAAAAAAAATCAAAACAAAAAATTAAGGTTTCTGATACTGGATCAAAAATGCATACACATTCAAAAACTAAGTACAAATTCTATAAAAACTAAAATTAAAATTAAATAACTTAATGTCTGATAACTGAACTTCCTAAAATTTTTAAATTATTATTTATCAATACTTAATTTCATTTTAAAAATTATTAAAGGAATACACTGTAAGTCTAGAGAAAATTAAGACAGAGACTTAGCATAACATGTGTTATTAGTATACTCTAATTGTAATTAATTTCCAAATAAGGTAACTAAATTACTTTGGGTTTTTTTGCTCCATGTTGTTTTATGTTAGAGGGTGTAACACAAGAAGTTTAAATGACAATAAAAATTTATGCAGGAGAGTAAACTAAATGAGAAAAAAAAAAAACAAAATATAGGAGGCTCAATTGGCAAAACAAAATGGTATGTTTTATTTATCAAAGACAATGAAGAAAATCAGAAACTACAGATAAATACAAAAAAAGGTTATAAAGCATAATTTTATTTCTTCAAAAAGGGAAAAATGTCCCTGAATAGTTAAGATATACCTTTTAGTAGTAATTCGTGTGCAAAATAAATAAGCAATTCTATAGGCTCTAGGTAAGTGTATGAAATGATTTTAATTTTCAAAGATGAAGTAATTTCCATCATTTTTAATGTTGGTATTCAAAAGGAAAGTTATAACCAAAAGAAAAGTAAATGAGACTTAAAGTGATCTGCAAGAGGCAAAATTTAGTAGCTTATGAATGAAAGCAGATTCCAGTAGTAATTATGGTTACTCACTCTATACACACACATACACACATTTCCATAACCTGAAGATGACTATTTTGCGTATTTCAATTCAGGAGTTTTTTTTCACAGTTAATCCTACAATCATAAAGCAAGAAGCTATTAATATAACGAGATTTTATTTACTAACCTTAACAAATTAAACAGCTAGAAAAAAATCATTACAATGATACGGAAAGATAATTTTATTGGCTTTTTAAAGGTAAATACAAATGAAAATATCTTACTGGGAAAATTAATTTTCAAAGTTTTCTTAAATAAATAAAACATCCTATGTCATCTCTCCTTCCAAGAATCTCTAAAATGGGCAATGCTAAAACCAAGCTTCTCACCTGAAAATCCCTAAAACTAGTATGTCCCTTTTAAAAAGTTCTTTATTATAAAGGACATTTGGTATACCCACATTTTCTTGAAATTTATCCTAAAACAAACTCTATCCGTAACATTCAAAGTTTCTATATATATTTAGTTCGCTTAATTTAAAATTAATGAAGTGATATCTAGACACAATTCCTAAGAAAACAATGCAGGAAGAATTTATGAATGGATATTTACAGAAAAAGTTTTCCTAAATCATAATGCAAATATCATGTTCAAAAACTTGACAAATTCTAATAATTATCATTGTTGCATGTTTCAGTAAATTTATATGTAACAAAGGATGTCTCATGTGTTGAATTACTAGATGAATCCAAAAGCCAGAAACTAAAGCATTTGACACGGTTAATAATTTTATTTTTATTATACTAAATGTCAGGTCAGAAGTCAATGGCATTTACATGCTGGAAGACTACCGCTCAACTCTTTCAATATCAAATACTGATTAACCAAATGTGATTGGACTTTACTGCTACAACTTTATGGTTTCTTTCAAGTATAGGCAAGTCTTTTAAATGAGCACATATGAAAATGTGCAAAACAAATGAAATATAAATATTTAAAGAATGAACAGAAATGGCTTTTAAACATAAACCACCCTGCCCATTCAATTCTGAAGCTCTACATTTTCTTCACTAATTTGTCTTCTGTTATGAGTAGTCTTCTATCCTATTAAAGTTGTACGTGTACAGATGATCTGAAAATTTCACATTGGTATAAGAAAGGAATGTTGGGTTGATGCAGTCTAGGACAAAGAGAGAATTAGTTTAAAATTCATTAGGCTGTGTTCATAAAGTCACAGTACAATAAAATCCCACTTAGAGCAGTGCAACATCAAGCATATAATGTTCTGATAAAGAGAACATAAAGCAGTGTGTGTGTGTGTGTGTGGGTATCAGAATACATTCCAAAGTGTAAAGCTTCTACAGGAGACCATCATCTAGAAAATATTTACAGTGTATTTTAGACCCTTCGAAATACATACAAAATAATTATTATAATCATTACTCACAGAATATCTTTTAAATTAGTAATTACTTTGCCTTTTATCACTAATTCTAAAAAACTCTTAATACCATTGTTCGCAAACATTTTACTAGTTAAATAAAAAATATAACATCTTTGGGGTGGGCTTAATAGAACTCTCACAATAATATTTTAAAGTGACTGAGGTGACCAGCTGTTCATATGGTAGCTAAGGTGGCTGGATTCCACACAGTTGACTCTGACTATGTGCCTTGAGTCCCAGACCCAGAGACTTGAACAACACGCTGAGTGTGTATGTGTGTATGCCCAAAATGCCAAAAGGAGAAATGGAGAAGGTCCTGCAGTGTGGCCATCCCCCTTGGGGAGTGCTTTCTTACTTTCCCTCTCTCTCTATTTCTCCCTGGTGAGTGTGCACATTTTCTAGAAAACTATTTTTTTTTTAAATAAAGATTCAGAAACACAAGTGTATTCACTGTACTATTCCTTGGAAATAAGTACATTATATAAAGTTATGAATGATTCATGTAAGTTATAAATAAAATTTAAGCAACCAAATCACAAACCATATCATTTATTCATAAAAAACAGTTATAGTAAATTTAAAATACTATGTAGTTTTGCATTCAGAACATTTTGCTTAGGCAATTCAAATATAGAAAATTTAAATCATTTATGAAAACTTTGCTTTGTGAAATAAGAAAGTAAAGATATGAGATTTCTTTATATGAAGAAACTCCTGGCTGTACAATAAATAAATACAATTACAATACACACAACCTCCAGAAACTTACTAGATAACTAGGAAACCTCTGCTCATTTCTTTATATTTTCTTCTATTCAACTTGGGGCCTTCATTACTAACACAATTTGACACACATTAAATAAACAATAACCTGATCCTGTTTTCTTCACACAATTTTTATTCCTTAATCTGGATTATTAAAATCACTGCATGACAGATTGCTTTGCAATCAGACTTGGTTTTGGGGGGTGGTTTCATCAGATGTTCATGTAGATTTCACATTGGTTTAAGTAAAATGCCTGTCCCTTCTGTGTAAGTACTCTCATATTTTGCTTTTCAATTTTCAAACCTTCAAATTTTGTGCTGGTGGTTACTCTGAACATGTGCTGTGGTCAATCTTCAAAGGGAAGTTTTAAAAGTCTGATTTAAAGTTTCAGTTTACTCATTAAATACTAAAAAAAATTAAAATTTGTGAAATTTGATATTAAAAGTATATGTTAGCTAAAAGGGTGTACAACTTACTAATAAGTTCAACTTACTAAATTTTATACTGTTAACAGTATAAAATACATTAAGCATGCTAACTCTGAGTAAAAATCCTGAGTACACATTGTTAAGCATTTAATATTTATCTGGTATATTTGAAGACATAAAGAGAACAAACAGTTAATATATTCGTATTTCTTACCTCTATAATAAGAAGAAATATCTTGTTCTATGAGCGGCTGCCATACTTTCAGACATGTTTCTGACTTTTAGATAATTAACAAATCCTCTGAAGAAAAGTAGTAGTCCTTTAGATTGAAATAACACCAATATATTATGTTCTTACACAGAAAAGGGCCATGATAAATTTTAAATAGACAACAATACAATAAACAAGATCCTTCTGGCTTATGGAATTTAATCTGCAGGATTCAATTCATTCCATAATGTATTCTACACTATAATGATAACTCCCATCACGAAAAAATATAATAAAATTTTACTGCCACTCACATTCTTAGTATTTGTTAAGCCTAGATATACCAATATTAAATCTAACTATGAAAACTCAGAATTACATAAAAATATACATTTATTAAATTATTTCTTTAAATAGAAGTCAATGCATTTAAACTGATTCAAGTCACAAAAATTCTATTTTATACTAATTTTTCAGTTAATATAACTACTGAGCAAAACTAAGACATGTTTATTTATATAAAACATTCAGGAAGAATATTTACATGTAGTTGCTATCTATAGGAGAAAAAAACAATAAGCCTGTCCAGTAATATCAAGTGCCTGTCATCTGTAAAATGTGTATTTGAAGATAATGTGAATTACATATACCCTGTTAGTTATGAGTTCTAATTCTTAAATAACTATTTTCAATTAAAATTAAGAAAAGTCAAGAAAGACGACTTGAGAGGCAGTTATTCTTCTGAATTCTTTTTTTTTTTTTTTTGGAGAGATTTTAACTGTAGGGCGCGTGCGCTTGCCAGACAGAGAGAGACATAGAGACAGAAAGCGAGAAATCACCCCCCAGGGGTGATGGTCACGCCACAATCCCTTCTCCTCCATTCTCCTCTCGGGATCTTGGGCACGCACGCACACGCGCCCAGCGTGAGTTTTAAGCCACCGGGTCCGGGACACGAACCGCGGTTGACTACGTGGGAGTCCAGCGACATAGCCATTATGCTAACTGCTGGTTCCCCTTCTGAATTCTTGAGAGATTTGGGATACATCTTAAATCCATCTCAATTTTCTCTGTAAAACAGTATTTTATAATAATTACCATTTCTATTATAGTTCTAATAATCAGAAAAGCAATGCCTGTGAAATGCTTCAAAGTTTTATATAAAACAAAACTAGTTAACTACAAAACCACTGCCATTATTAATAGAAGCCTTCAAAATATTTAAGTTTACATTCTTTCTTAGAGAATTTTAACCAGGAAATGGCAAGGAGCAGCAAAAACAGAAAATATGTATGTGTACAACTCTCCTCACTATGAAAAAAAGGGTATGTGAATTTAAAATATAAAGTCCCAAACTAAATGTGTGCACCAAACTTAAGATAGTAATGAAAGCACTTAAAAAAGAAGTATGTATATAATAAATTGAACAAGAAAGATAGAAGAGATATACAAATAACAACTTAAGTGGTATAAATTCCAGCTAAATCCAATACTGTCTGCTTTCCATGGCCTAACTACCTCCACCACCTTAACTCCGTATGTCCACATTCTGCCCTCCTGTCCTTCCGTATACCACCAAAGACAAATGGTATTGTTATGTAAATAAAAACGTATTATTTAAAAATGGTTAAACCCAAATTATTTGTGCAATGTCTTCTTTTGTTGTTTATACACTTTGCTCTGCTCAGGTATTTTCTAAAATAAGCCAATTCACATTTATAAACCAATCACTTAGCTGTTTGTCACCATTCTATGAGGTACTCAACATTCCTCTGACTACATAGTAGAGCAACATTTTTATCTTCTATTATATTTTTATATTCCCTTTAAAAAAAATGCTAGATTATGGCTCTGATGGAGAATTGGGACTGTCCTCTGGGTTCTAATCTGTCCCATATTTTACTTCCTAACATTCCTTCAATCTCTTAATAATATACATTTTTAAAATGTTCACTTAGAATGCTTAAATAATTAATAAACCTTTTAATTTTTTTTTCACTTTTTGGTAAGAAACTCAATGAAAAGCACAAAATTCAGGAAGTTAGACACATTTAACATAAAGCTGGCTTACCCCTTATATGAGTGTAACTCTCAATCAAGTCACAACATTAGAATAATTCCACTAACACTATTAGAGAAAAAACTCAGTAGCTTTAACTGACCACAAAGAATCTGTTTCCCAAAAGATTCTAAAGAACTAACAGCATGACTAAATAAAAACTCAAAGAGAAGACTGCCACCTACTGAAATGCTATTATTTTCTAATGCAACTATTTTCTTAGAAAAATGTAGGTTCATAAACTCACATTTTTTGTAAAAACAAAGCACATTCATGATTAAATGTTCATTAGAGGTATAGTATGATTTTAAGATTAATGTAATCTGCATCTGTAAAAATACACTAAGGAATGAAAATTGAAAATCTATAAACTTCATCAATATTAATAAAAAGACACACCTTATATGAATATAACTCAACAGAAGCACTGTGGTCATTAGGCATGAAGCCTTTCCACATGCCTAGCTGATTAATGATTAATACAGGGCACCTTTCAAAAGCATACAGAATGTTTCCATGATCCAAAATAAAGAGAACAGGCAGATACCCAAAACTATCCTACTCCCAAATTTCCTAAGATCATTAAAAAAAGAATGCTTGTACATTTTCCAAGATAAATGCTGAAAACAATGACCTTTCTAATCATGATGAAATTTTCTAATTTCATAGCATTAAATTATCATTCAACTACTGGATGATCAAAGGCAGTACACTGATAGCCTCAGAATTTTAAATCAAGTAAAGCTGAAATATGTGTTTAATTATTTGAAAAGCTAAGCTAATTTAAGTGTTTGGACATAAGAATTTTACAGCAGAAAATTTATTTCCACGTAAGTTGCAATATAATTTTCATCTTACAATTTTAGGAACCATCCAAATTAAACTAAATGCAAATCAGTTAAACAATGCATTAAAAATAAACTTACCAAGTACAAGAAATATCCACCAAAGCCAGTATTGTCCATTAAAATATCCAGTAAAATAATCAGAAAACTGTAGAATGAACATAAATATATTAGTTGTATTTGTATACCTAAATTATTGTCTTTCAGAATGATTTACCTCAAACAGTATTTAACACAAAAACCACACAAAAGGAAAAATAAAGTAAAAATACTTAATGACAAAAATATAATTATTTAAGAACAAATTAACTCAATAGACAACAAACTAAAGCAAAATATTTTAGAAACAAATATTCAAGCAGTTTCAAACTACTTGAAAGAAAAGTAAATGTTACATACCTGAATTAAACCTTTTCTCATTAAGGAATTCACATGTCAGTCCTTTCTTCATAATCTCTCAAAGCCACAACTACCATCCCAAACACACTACAGCACCCGCTGTTTTAGATATTAACACCAAAAGCCACATTAGTTTAATCTTATCGGATGGGGATGTTCTGCTGACCTCTCAAAAGAAGAGCTTTTGACCTTCTGTACACCCCCTACTGTTAATCACTACCAAGAATACAGGCACATAAAGACCCCCAACTCATTAGAGTCTTTTTATTTTCAGACTAGATGCCCTAGCATTCAGTTCCCAACAGTGAGCTGAAAACAGCTGAATGAACCTTGAAGTGGCATTTCAACAGTTCCTTTAAGTGGCCACGGTGGACAGTTTTATATTATCTGGGAATACGAACAGGCAGATGGAAAGCAGGGTTTAATGATACTGGACACAGGGACCTTTTTCTTGAGTAGATTCTAGACATCATACTACGTTAATTTAATAAGGTTTTCAAAAATCCAATTTTCCTCAGTTACTTCAGACAACTCTTTCTTACCCTTGAGCATCTAAACAACACCCCAAATAATTATTTAAAAGTGTTTAATTTAACCTACTCTGAAACATAGCTTGTTTTACCTACCTTGTTTCCACCGATATCTAAGTTAAATCTGATTTGAAAATTATTTTATTAAATGCGTACTTTCCCTCAAATCTTAAATCAATGAAAAGTATTTTCAACTTTATAGGTAATTAATTCCAACCATTTCTTGGTAATTTTCATAAAAAATATAAACTCCTGCAGCTTTGTAATAACAAATTTGCTTACACTCCATACACAGTGCCACTTAGGCAATATCAACTGAAGATTATTATCTGTTTTTTTAAGCATTCTAAATATTCCTAAGTATTTTCAAATACACTATGATTTAAAAACTCAACTACAAGCCGTAGAAATTTCAAAGACCTAAAATTTCAAGGCACTATTAAAGGAGTCAGCAGGGAGCATAGTGGTTAAGGCACTACACTCCTACATGACTAACGGTGGTTCAAGTCCCAGACCTGGTGGCCTGCTTTCTCACTTCCCTACCGCCCCCCTCTGTCTTGCTCTTGTCAAATTAAAATAAATAGATAGAGCAGTAGATAGACAAAATAATAATAATTCTTTTTTTAAAAAAAAGTACTATTAAAGATGCAAATCCCAAGCCAGCATGGTGGTTAAGTGACTAGATTCCACATGGCCAACTGCATGGCGTGAGACCCAGAATCAGTGGCTCAAAAAACATGCCAGGTGCATGACCTTGTGTGCCCAAAATTCCAGGAGGAGAATGAAGAGACTGCACTGCACCATGGCCATCCTCTCTGAGGGAGTATTTTCTCACTTTCTCTGTCTGGCACACACAGGTGCTCCATAAAAAATTAAAAAAAAAAAAAATGCAAATCCCACATACTCCTATGCTGTATAAATATGTGTATGTTCAGGGAATTTAAAAATTAAAACTATATAGCTTAAAAGTAGAACTGTGAAGGAATAATAGGTGATGTAGTGGCCAAGGCACAAGACCCCAACATTGCCAACCTTGGCTTGAGTCCTAGACTCACTGGGCACGTATGTATACATGCCCAAAATCCCAGGAGGAGAATGAAGATAAAGGATTTTGTCATGGCCATTCCCCCTGGGGATGCTTTCTCACTTTTCTTCTCACTGCCTTTCTCCAGCGAGTAGCACACACCCTATGGCAAAAAATTTTTTTAAAAACTTGGGACCGAGACCAGCAGGTGGTATGATGGTTAAGGTACTAGATTCCCATATGGCCAACCACGGTTCAAGTCCTGGACCTGGAGGCTTGCTTTCTCACTTTCCCTCTATATCTCTCTCCCTTTGGTCAAATGAATAATAATAAATAAAAATTAAATGAATAATTAAAAAAAAAAAACCCTGAGATCAGCAGATGGTGTAATGGTTAGATCACTGGACTCCCACATAGCCAACTGTGTGGTTTGAGTCCCAGACCCAGTGGCTTAAATCTCACCCAGCCACATGTGCATGAGTGCCCAAGATCCTGAGAGGAGAATGAAGGAGAAGGACTGCAGCATGGCCATCCGCCCTGGAGGGTAATTTCTTGCTTTCTGCCTCTGCCTCTCCAGCCAGCACAAGCACCCTACAGCAAAAGCCTCTCAAGTACAAATACCTTGTGGCAATTTTTTTTAAAAAAAAAGGAAAGAAAGAAGCTTTTGGACTCATTACTAAGTCATCAAAAAGGTTTCAAAATAATGAAATCATAGGGCTAAGACAAGATGCTCTTGTTTTTATAATTTATTCTCCTATTCTTCAGAATTTATTTTTACTTTTTATTGACTAGAGCACATACACTCACCAGAGAGAGAGCATGTGAGAGTGCGCGTGTACCCACAATGGATGTGGCCACACCACCAACCTCTTTCTTCCATCTCTCCTTCCTGTCTGGATTCTGAGCGCATACATGCATCACACACACACGACCAACATGTGTTCTCCAAGCTGCTGGGGCTAGAATTTGTACTACAGTCAGCAATATGGGGTCTGCCCCCCACCCCCCCCACCCCCAGTGCTAAGGGGCTTGTCCAATTTTTTTTTTAAGTGCAAGTAAACTAGTCATTTTAATTGGTCAATCATAGGCTATAGAAATCAAATTCTGGAAAAAAAATTAACCAACATTAAGTATTTGACTTTGTTTTTATTAATATAACACCAGTATATTTTTGTTTATATCCTTTCTGCTTTCAAAGAGAACTTGTTAGTTTTTAAATACATATTCATTTTTAAACAAATAGAATCATCAAAAGTGTTAGAAATAATATCAGAATCCTTGCTAAAGATATTTATATAAAATCTGAGATTCGTGGCAGCTCAGAAACAAAAAGGAAAGCAGCGGTATGACTTATAAATTACTTACTGTCCAATGAAAGGAAACACCAGGTTTTCCAAAGAAAATCTTTCTTTCAGCACTGAACTCCAAAAGGAATTTACTGCCTGGAGCATTATAGTAAATGTACAGTGTAACAGGGGCAGTGCATAATTAGAAACCCAGGTACTGAATTGAGACCAAGCAAGATTAGAATTCACATAGCAACTGTGGGATGCTGACTTATGAGACTCTTGACATTCTTAATTTCATTGTCCTTAAAATGTATTATCACCAGCATCAGAGGTACAAACAAGATTTTAAAATCTGGTGCCTGGAAAAAAGTGCTCAGTGAGAGGCAACTATTGTCTATTTCTTTTTTTAATAACAGATAGATTAAAATCCTCACATAAATTCTCAATACGCTTTGAGATATAATGTAAACCTTAATGCAGCGAAAGTACTTTAAAAAGAAACAAAACAGCTCTAGTGATAAAACTTCAAACTAGCAAAGCCTTACAAAACTGTAAGAAATTCCAGTCTTTGAATTTATCCAATTAACCAGAGCTGATTACTAGATACTCTAACCCCTTCTCAACCTGGGGTTCTAGAGAGTATTAGGTTCTAATAATCTAAAAGCATAGGTAACTTCTTTCCAATGGACCTAAAATAATACTGACAATTTACCAACCATATGAAAACTGGAAAAACTGTCCCAAAATCATTTTCTGTGCTCTGTGATTTCAATGAGAAATTCCATTTGAATAACAGTAATTAAGTCTTTTTTGTACTAAAATTGAAGTTGGACATACTTAACACCTACTCTTCAAGCTTTTTATAGTAATAACTTCTGCAAGGGTAGAAATTATGACTTCATATTTGTATGTTCTATAACACCATAGATTTATGCTTGTGGTGGAAACTCACTATACACTTTCTGAAATAGTATTAAAACAAGAAACTGATAGTTCTCACAATGGCTCATTTTTATTCTTTTTTTTTTTTCCTTGGAGAGGTATTTTTTGCTATAGGGCGCATGCACTCGCCAAAAAGACAGAAACAGAGAGACAGAAAGTGAGAAATCACCCCCCAGGGAGGATGGCCACGCCACAATCCCTTCTCCTCCATTCCCCTCTTGGGATCTTGGGCACGAACGAACACGCGCCCAGCGTGATTTTAAGCCACTAGGTCCGGGACGCGAACCACTGTCAACTACATGGGAGACCAGCAACATAGCCATTACACCAGCTGCTGGTCCCACAATGGCTCATATTTTAGTTATCTTAGAAGAAACAAGCCCACAGGTCCCAACCAAAAAAAAAAAAAAAATCAACTGATAAGTAACCAAAATTTATAATCTGGCCTGACCCAAGACACAGTCTAGTAAGATTATTAAAAGTTTGGAAACTATAAATTCTAAGGGTCAGCAAGTGGCATGGAGGTCAAGGCACTGGACTCCCACGTGGCCGACCATGGTTCAAGTGCTGAACATGGTAGCTTCAAAAACCACACTGGGTGCATATGCATGCATGCCCAAAATCCCAGTAGGAAAACATAGGAGAAGGGATTGTAGTGTAGCCACCCATACAGAGGGGGTGATTTCTCACCTTCACTCTTACTGTTTGTTTCTGGCAAGTGCACACGCCCTACGGCAAAAACCATAAAATATAAAAAGTTCTAAAACTGAATATATAACATCATAGAATTAATATGTTTTACTTTCAAAATCAATAACAGGAGCTGCTATATTTGAATTATTTGAATGTGTTCTCCCAAACCTCATGTATTCTGATGGGATTAAGGTGAGGATTTAATCCAACTATGGTGCTGAACGGCGAGGCCTTTGGAAATTGGAATCAGGGAGGGAACCTTGTGACTGCACGTTCATGGGTTTATAAGGAGACATACATGGATACAGACATGCTCACTCAGGCCCTCTTGTTGCCACGTGATGCTCTGAGCCTTCCCCACCAGCATTAAGTTCCTCACTAGAGGTAGCCCTGAGAACTAGGATCTCCAAACTGTGAGCCACATGTACCCTTATTCTTATAAATCATTCAGTTCTGGTATTTACATTATTAACAAGACAGACCTGCACAAAAAATTGGTAGCAAAAATGCAGCTGGTGCTAATAATAAATATTTGAAAGTGTAGGAATAGATTTGGAATTGGTTAATAAGCAGAAGTTGAAAGAATTTGAAGGTGCAAGCTAAAAAACCCTAGAATGCATTAATGGAGATTCTGATAGAGGATCAGAAGGTGAAAAGTTTGAAGAAAGTTTGGAACTTGACCTTAGAGACTGGTTAAATGGTCATGACCAGAATGCTGACAGAAATATGGAAAGTTAAAGCCATTCTGAGGAGGTCTAAAGGAAAACAAGGAAGATCTTATTGGAAACTGGAGAAAATGTCACTTTTGTTACATCATTACAAAGAATTATGTCCACACGCTAAGGTTTTGTGCAATACTAATAAATATGAAAATAAAAATTCTAAGCAAAATACACAAGGAGCTACATGGTTACTTCTGATTGCATACAATAAACTGTACTCAGAAATAATACTTAAAGATAATATTTATGGGGACCAGCAGTTAGCGTAATGGTTATGTCGCTGGACTCCCACATAGTCGACCGTGGTTCACCTCCCAGACCCGGTGGCTTAAAACTCACGCCGGGCGCGTGTGCGTGTGTGCCCAAGATCCCAAGAGGAGAATGGAGGAGAAGGGATTGCGGCGTGACCATCCCCCCTGGGGGGTGATTTCTCGCTTTCTGTCTCTCTGTCTCTCTCTCTCTGCCTGGCGAGTGCACGCGCCCTATAGCGAAAAAAAAAAAAGATAATATTTATGATGAAAATAGAAGCAGAATGGATCATTTTGGAAAATTCTCGATCTAACCAGGTGAAGGGCAGAAAGGCAAGTTCTAGAGAGAGTGTGGCTCATCTACTGGCTGCTAGAGATTAGTACTGATAGTGGAGTCCAGATACTAATCAGCAAGACAATGGAAGAGAGGATCTGAAAGCACTTCAGATATCTTTAAGGCTGCCATTTCCATCAAGGTCTAGGAAAGCAGAATGGTTTCAGGGGGCACTCAAGAATGGATTCACTGCCCTGGAAAACCTTGGGACTCTGCTTCCCACATCCTGGTGCAGCACTCCTTCGCTTCAGCCAGGGATCAAGCAGCCTCAGGTGCAGCTCAGCCTGCCAGAACTGGGTAATAGGCAAAAGCTGGGAAATTTTGGAGAGAAAGTAATAAAAAGCCTAGAATGCACTAAGGCATTTTAACCCACCTGCTGCTCCCAAGAGGGGAATGGAGGAGAAGGGAATGCGGCATGGCCATCCCCCCTGGGGCATGATTTCTCACTTTCTGTCTCTCTGTCTGTCTCTGTCTGGCGAGTGCATACGCCGTACAGCAAAAATCTCCAAAAAAATAAAATGATGGAGAAAAGAAAAAGACTTATCTTCCTATGTACTGCCTTATGAATGATAAAAAATAGACAGAGGGTGATTTTGGTGAACAAAAGGAAATAAGGCTTAGACGGAACACAGGAGTAAGAAGATGAGTTCTGATAGCTACTCATATGCTTCTATTTTACTTTGAGCTCTCAGTATTGGAAAAATAGGAGAAAAGATATTAAATTCATGATAATTTTACTAAACAATATATTGCATGTTTTAACTGATGTTAGGCATATCTGCACTACATGACAACAGTTGTAGCCATGATTTACTGAGCACATGTATTTGTGTGGTAATTGGGCAAGGTACTTTATATCATTTCTATGCCTCTTAAAAATCCTGTAAGGTTGGGAACCAGCAGTTAGCGTAATGGCTATGTCGCTGGAATCCCACATAGTCGACTGCGGTTCACATCCCGGACCCAGTTGCTTAGAACTCACGCCGGGCGCGTGTGCGTGCGTGCCCAAGATCCCGAGAGGAGAATGGAGGAGAAGGGATTGCGGCGTGACC